GCCCACGATGACCCACTCCTCCTCCTTCCTCCTCCCGTCCCCGCCTCATCCCCCGGCCGACGCAACCGACGCCGAGAACGCGGTCTCCTACGCCGTCGTCGTCCTCAACCAGCGCCTCCCGCGCTTCGCGCCCCTGCTCTGGACCCGAGGTACGTAACCAACCAACCAACGCGCGCCCCTCCCTGCCTCACCTTTCTTCCGTGGGCATTATCGCCGCCTTCGCTCTCCGTCCTCGCGGACACGTTTTGACGCGCCCGGCTTGTGTCGTCTCCCTCTCTCTCTGTTGTCTGAGCAGCGCAGCTGCGGGTGTGCGCGGACGGCGGCGCCAACCGGGTCTTCGACGGCATGCCGGAGCTGCTCCCGGCCGAGGACCCCGACGAGGTCCGCCTCAGGTGATCCATCAAAGTCTTCTCCGCCTTCCTCTTTTTTGTTTTTTTCTACCCCGATAGCTGCGTGCCTACGCCTCCCACCTGTTCATAGTTGACTCTGCCTCTCCGTGGATCAATGCCCATCACGTGCTTGTTGGAATGCGTCGGAGATATACTAGCTGTAAACAAAAAATTCCTTTTGGTTTCTATGCCTGTGCTGTTGCGTGCAAGCCTGAACGCTGGCATGCCAACGCATATAGCTGTAAAAAAAAACTCACTCTGAATTCGCTTCTCAATATACCTTTTTTGGCACGCCGCGTCTCGGCATCTGCCTTGTTTGTTTGAGCAATACTTACATTGTACTAGGACTACAGTTGGTATGGTGTGTGTTTAGTCAAAAACTGCAAGTTACCCCTTATATGCCTTGCCCGCATGTGCTCGAGCACAAATTCAGAGTTTTCTTGAGACGAGACGCAGCAAGTACTTCGGCTAAAGAACTGTCAGTCTTTGCATCTGATGTAGTCTCTGTCATTTTTAAATGCCTAACACACATTTTCATATGATTTTTCTTTTGAGATGGCATTTTATCTTCTTTTTGAAACATATTACAATGTTCAACTCTGCTTGGGTCATCTATCTATGTAATGCTCAAGAGCTGTTTATATGAAGGAAAAGTGTTCTTAAGTTTGCCTAAGGTGCCACCAGAGGGCTTGGCAGATTAAACCATACCACGGCGATATAGTATGCATCACATTTGAAATAGTTTATACTGCATCAATGGAACACATTTAGTTGTTCGCCCATGCCAAATACTACTAGTAGTTGGGAAGAGATTTAAAAACCTATTTATTGGTAGTTGGGAGGTAGGTTTAAGACAGATTTCTTTGCTGGTTGTTTGTATGTGACGATCTCATTAATTTGTCCTTACCTTCCTGCAGGTACAAGCCCGACGCAATCGAAGGAGATATGGATTCTGTAAGGCCAGAAGTGAAGGAATACTATTCCAGTTTGGTAACTAATTTAAAACTCCCTTCATCATACCTTTCTGAAAACGAGATGCTGAAGCTGACAGCTGAACCAAAAAATCATATTGTATGCAGCAACTGTCCAGGGCAGTTTCTATTATGTAAGGGAGAAATATATCATGCGTAGCAAAAATACAAGCAGAAAGATAGTATCATCTTTTAGCCGTCTTGGTCCACATGAATATGTTTGTGATTCTGTTTTGGACCGTTGTGTGATGTTAGCTATAATGGGCTATAAAAATATCAGAACTTCATGTCTACAAGTTTAGATGACTCTTACTGACACCAATGCGGGGAAGAAATCTATTTTCTTGTGTGAAATCAAACTGCTGAAATAATTACATTGATTAAGTTGTCCTAATTATCCTAGAAAACCAGGAAGGGAGCGATGCCTTGTTTTATTGTATTTTTTAGTAGGCTTTTGTTTCTATACCAGTATTTTTGGTATGCTTGTCCTGGTAAATGCAAGTACTACTTCAGTGTTGATTAAATTGGCATGGCCAGTTGTATCCCTGTGAAGGGAGCGATGCCTTGTTTTATTGTATTTTTTAGTAGGCTTTTGTTTCTGTACCAATATTTTTGGTATGTTTGTCCTGGTAAATGCAAGTACTATTTCAGTGTTGATTAAATTGGCATGATCAGTTGTACCCCTAGCCGTGAACCTCAAGTTTCTTCCTGGAAATGTTGTGGAGTGGCAGCAGGGATAATGTAAATGTAAACCAAGTTTATGTACATTTGATTTGCCCTGCTTTACTACTTTTTGAGAGAGGCAACATGAATGTCAACGCTGGGCATTATTAGTATTCTGTACAATAGATGATTTTTCTGGTTTAAGATTAACCAATGAGGCCTTGAAACTGGGACAGGAACGATTGGTGACTTACAGCAAAATGATATATTGACAACACCCTTCTTTGATCAATTGCAGGGTACCCAAATAATCGATGATTCACATGATCAGGACACCACAGACTTGAACAAGTGCATATCGTTCATCACCAAAAATCCGCCTGGGCCAGACAATTCTAATGTACACCAGATCAGTTACCAGTGTTTACTCCAGATCAGTGTTTGCAACACCAGCTTTTTTACTGATGTTACTGTGTTTTGTGTAACTGCAGCTTTGCATTCTTGTTCTTGGTGCGCTTGGAGGAAGGTTCGATCACGAGATGGGGAACATCAACGTACTGTATCGCTTCTCAAACACCAGGATCATCCTCCTGTCAGACGACTCCTCGATCTTCCTGCTCCCAAGGACGCACAGTCACGAGATCCGCATCGAGCGGTCGATCGAGGGTCCTCATTGCGGGCTGATCCCCATGGGTGCGCCATCAAACAGCAGCACCACCACCGGTCTGCGATGGAACCTAGGTACAGGAATCTAAGCTAAAATGCAACCTCATTTTTGTATGGCAACAACATGATCTGATAGCCCTGCTGAATTTCTCTCTCCAGATAGTACCAGCATGAAGTATGGTGGATTAATGAGCACATCAAACATTGTGGAGGACGAGATTGTAACGGTCACTTCGGATTCTGATTTGATTTGGACAATATCTCTTCGGAAACACGCTTAAATTGTGTTATTGTACAGTAGGTTATGGTCCAAATTTTGGCTCGTCAGTTCTACGTGGAGGGGATTCGACAAATTTTATTGTGATGTGATGATATAGTTCATTCTATTAGATATTTGGCGGAACCGGAGGGACAGGTGTCCATGTATGTCAGCATCTTATTGTCTTATTTGTGCATTTCAAATTGTCAAAAAGCAACATGCTTATTCGAGCTGTGGACCCGTCCACAATTTCTGACATGGACTCCAGGTATGTGTGTGCACGTTCTTGTGTGGTGGTTCAAGTTTAGTGTCTCTTGGTTTGTGTTTGCATTCGGAGCACAGTAAAAAGTGAATATCACAATACCCAAACTAAAGAAGAACTCATGCAACGAAAAAAAAAACCCTCATCTTTTGAGGTTTTTATCGCAAAAACACAACTTATAGGCTAATGATTGTCAAAGGACCTTATTTGTTTTCAGGTTGCTTACCACACGGGCCATGTTAAAATTGATTCTCCGCTGCCCAACAGGTTCGAGTCAGTCTTAGACTTTGCGGGTGCTTAGATTGCTTCTTCCATGAAAATATGCCTCTTCCATGAAAATTTAAATTCAAATTTTGACCACGCTTTGACCGAATTATGACTGAAAAAAAAGGTCAAGGTTTCATAAAAGAAAAGAAGTTTCTAGACGGTCAGCCACATCCAGCCACGTCCCCATCGCGGATGACGTGGACCGTGACTCTCCCCCCGAGGTGGCGTCCTTATCGGAATCCAAACCCACCATTCTCCCGCTGCCACCGGGCCCCAACCCATCAACCAGTCAGGCCCCACCCCTCAATCCACGATATTTTCCGGGCCCCCTCCCACCCACTGCGCGCGGGCCCCGCCACCACATTCCTTTCGTCCTCCCCAAGAGCCTCCTTCTTTCTTCCGCTTGTGATTTGTTTATCAAAGTCGCGGATCGGAACCCGCCGACGCCGCTGAGCCGAGCTGAGCGACACCCGCGGCCGAGCAAACCCTAGCCTGCTGACCGTTCCTCCATGGCCAACCCCTCCATGGCGGCCGGCGGCGGGGTGCCGTGGGCGGAGGGGGCCCGCGCCGTCGGGGCCCAGATCCGCAACCGCCTCCGCGTGGCGCCCGTCGACCGCCGCTGGCTCTGGCGCCGCCCCGAGGGCCGCGCCGCATCCGAGGCCGTGCGCCAGTGGTCCGACCGCCTCCGCGCCATCCTGCACCGGGACAAACAGAATCAGGGGCCCGACCAGCAGCAGCAACAGCAGCGCCCCGCGACCCCCGACGCCGCCGCCGCCGCCGCGAGGCCCTCGTCCAGCGCCCTGAGGTTCTACAGGAAGAAAGGTATACGATTCTATCCATCGGTGCCATTGGTCTGTCTGATAGCTCTATGCCAAAACAAAACCATTGCGAAATGAATGCTTGTTTGATGTCACCATTGTTTGTGTATTCTTTGTAGTGCCTGTATCCCTAACAATCTGATTTCAGCCTAATGAGATTATAAATGTGGCGCTCCTGGTTATTCATTTTTTGTTGTGCTCTCATGATAGGAGGGGGGACAAAGATAATACCCCCTCCGTCCGGAAATACTTGTCGGAGAAATGGTTGAACATGGATGTATCTAGAACTACAATACGTCTGGATACATCCATTTCTTCGACAAGTATTTCCGGGCGGAGCCAGTAGATTTTACTGTTTAACTCTTTGTACCAGTTTCTAAATCGCGTCTCTTCCTCAATGCAGTGGGCAAAGAAGTTAACGGGGTTGAAGACTCCGTGATTTTCCGCTCGCTCCAGGCGCTGGCTGTTCCTCTCATTGGAAATGCTTGCCATGTTTTTATGCACGGCCTTAACTCTGTCCAGGTATTGGAGCCGAAGAGTGATTGTTTACCGAAATACTTGCCCGAGACTACTACAGGCTTCTGCTAACCTATTTAGCTGTGCAGATTTATGGTGCAGAGAAACTTCAGCAGGCGTTACAAGAGAGGCCTAAAGACAAACCTCTTCTAACGGTACGTGCCTATTTCATTGCATGACATGTTGTCTGAAGGGTAGCTAGTAGTCATAAACCCATACTCTTATATGTCCGCAACTTCTACTGTAGTGATGGATCGGTGGTATTCTTCCTTATAGAAGACGGTGATGACCTGCATATTTTCTCTATGAATTGTCGCATCACCTGACTTCTTAACCGCGGTCGCTTAAAGTTTTACATGGCGCATTTCTTCCTTACAGCATATTTTTCTCCACTATGCATTCTTCTAATCATACTATGCTTATATCATTTTTATAATCCTAGGTCAGCAATCACGTGGCTGCTATGGATGACCCTTTTGTAATTGCCTCCCTTCTGCCACCATCTGTTATGTTGGAAGCACAAAAGCTGAGATGGACACTATGTGCGACTGATCGTTGCTTTACAAATCCAGTTCTGTCCACGTTCTTCAGGTCTGTTAAAGTGTTGCCTGTTAACCGTGGTGAAGGCATCTACCAAAAGGTATGAGATACATTTCGTTTATTGTATTTAGGGGTCTAAAGTTATTTACCTCAAGTATGTTTGCAGTAGATTGGCCATCCAAATTTTGATGTTAGTAAACCAGTTTATTTATGGTATATACTTGGAGAAATATTGATATTTAGTTTGTTGACTAATGGTGCCATTTAAACCAGTATCTCATTGTTGGGAGATACTCACTGGGCTTTGCCTAGCTCAGTTAAACTTCCTATCATTGTATTGAACCATGAACTTAACTAACATGCTACATCCTTGTATTCAAAACAAAGTTTTAGCTACCTGTAATATCTAGTGTCTCATTGTTGTTACAAATTCACAATAGGTTTCACAAGTGAATGCCATTGTATGTTTGGATCAGTGCTCTAATCTGCTAAGGGTCTTAACCGAGCACTGTAGAATGCACACCATCTTTCCTGGTTCTACCTCTGAAATTAATAGAGGGGATGCAGTATGCCTGTACATGGTTGAGTCTCTTGAGTTTTCTCTTCACAGGACACTACTCTTTTTTGTTGTTGTTTAGGGAATGGATATGGCGCTCTCAAAGCTTAATAATGGCGGATGGGTTCACATATTTCCTGAAGGAAGTCGTTCAAGGGACGGAGGGAAAACCATTGCTCCTGCTAAGAGAGGTGTTGGAAGGTTAGAAGTTTATTTCCTTGTACTGTCTGCAATGAATGCCAACTCAGTCTCAGCTTCTTTTTGTATAAAAAAGCCTGCATTTTGCACATGCATATCAGTTCATCTGAACTTTGTAGTTTTTGTTCATTGTTGAGGTGCACCTATTTAATTTCTCTTTTTTCTTCTTACCAGATTGATTATGGATGCTGACAGCCTACCGGTTGTTGTCCCCTTTGTCCATACTGGGATGCAGGACATAATGCCTGTTGGGAAACGTATCCCAAGAACAGGCCAAAGGGTGTGTGCCCCTGCACGCAACTCATATTTCTTGTTGTCATGGAATTTAGCTGAATACTGAACTACTTATTTATTTGATTCTGTAGGTGATAGTGGTTGTTGGTGACCCAATCAACTTTGACGACCTGATGGCTGAGAACAGTAACGACTCCCAACATATTTCTAGAGGTGACCTGTATGACAAAGTAACCGAAAGGATTGGGCAGCGGCTGCAGCAACTCAAGGTGGAGGTCGACAGATTGGCGGCAGAGCAGAAGGCCGAGCTCCAAAACCGTCACACAGACAACACAGTCAACGACGGGTACAAGGTGTGGCAGCAGGTTGACTGGGAATCGTTCGGCATAGGGAACATGCTGTCGTCAGCCGAACATTCGTCGGCCCAAGAGCCGCCAAAGCAGATCCAGCACGAAGTGCTCCTGGCGGAACAAAGCGTTTCTCCAGCAAAGCAGGCAGAGCCCGAGCCGCGCCTCGAGGAGGAGCAGAGCGTTTTTTCTCCAATCTCTCGCGTTCCGCACTGGTTCAGCCGCCACATGGACGCCTCCGAGCTCATGGGGTTCGCCGCGCGCGGCCTGGTCCGGAACGGCAGGTCCATGCAGGAGGGGTACCGGCAGTTCCAGGAGCCGTCGGCGTTCAACGCCTGGTGGGAGGCCCAGACGAGCAGCGCGATGATGCCCAGGTGGAGCACCGCTTGACCTAGGCCGCCCTGAAGTCCCTTTTGTACAGTTTTCCGACAAGGACGCCGACACGAATTTAGATAGAATGCCTCTGTTTTTGTTTTGCTGTTGCTGGCAGTTTTGGAGCTAGCATGAACGAACAATGAACTGGACACCATAAGTTGTCTTGAGAAGAGATGATGTGAAATTTCGATAGCTGAAGTCGGGCTTGGTGTAAGCAATGTCGGCTTGTTATGTGTAAGAAGTAGGTAGCTCTAATTTTGTCTGGCAACGGTGCAAAAAGCAATCAAAGCCCGCACCGCGAAGCAAACCCCCAACGTTCACTTGCCAGTTCGAATCTCAATCTCTTCATAGCCGTTGCAGCCACCCCCCTCGCCTCCACATTTTAAACTCCGACGCCGCCGCAAACCCTTCCTCCCTCCATCCATCCCATCCACACGCCGCAGCGCAAAGCCCTCCTCCAAATTAAATCTCTTCCAAATCTCTCGCCCTCCCTCCCCATCTCGGCGTCTCCATCTCCATCCATCGGCAAGCGACCCCATCCCACCCATGGCCCTCCGCGCGCTCGACAACACGCTGCCGGCCGCCGTGGCGGACCAGCGCCCCAAGAAGGCCGCCAAGCTGTTCGCCGTCACCCGCTCCCCCACCGGCAGCGGCGGCAACGGCAAGAAGCGCAACGACGAGAACTCTGCGCCGACGCCCAAGCCCGCGTCGCCGGTTGCGGCTGCAGCGGAGCCCGCCGTGGAGTACGTCCGGTCCGAGGACCTGCTGCCCGTGCCCGCGCCCAAGGCCCGCGCCCAAGGCCTCGTGGCGGGGCTCGACTCCAAGGACTGGGTCAAGGTCTGCGAGGCCCTCAACGACGCCCGCCGCCTCGCCATCCACCACCCCGCCCTCCTCGCCCCCATCCTGTACGTTCCTTTCCGTCTCCTCTGATTTTGTCTTTTAATTTCTGTCGAATTCCGTTCTGGATCTGACCTGAGATCCGTCCGCGGGTGATGATTGGCAGGGAGAAGGTGGTGCTGGGGATGGTGAAGACGATGAAGAACCCGCGGAGCGCGGTGCTCAAGACCTCCGTGATGGCCTGCACGGACGTCTTCGCGGCCTTCGGCAACCTCATCTCCTCGGCGTCCGCGGACGCGTTCGACAAGCTGCTGCTGCAGCTGCTGCTCAAGGCGTCGCAGGACAAGCGGTTCGTGTGCGAGGAGGCCGAGAAGGCGATGCGCGCCATGGCCACCTCCATGCCGCCCCTGCCCTTGCTGAAGAAGCTTAAATCCTACGTCCACCACGCCAACCTCCGGGTCCGCGCCAAGGCCGCCGTCGCCATGGCGCACTGCGCCGCCAGGATGGTGCGTACCGCTTGTCGACTCAAATCCAGGCAGCGGAACTCGATCTGTCTGTTTCGTTTTACTGACGCAGGAGATCATGTGTCGATTGGCAGGACGTGGAGACGATGAAGGACTTCGGGCTGCCGGCGCTGCTGCAGGTGGCCGCCGAGCTGCTGAACGACCGGCTGCCGGAGGCTCGCGAGGCCGCCCGCAGCATCGTCGGCTCCACGCACGCCGCCTTCTTCTTCAAGGAGGCCGCCGAGAAGGAGCAGGAGCAGGAGAAGATGGAGAATGAGCTCCAGGAGCAGGAGGAGGTGAAGGAGAATGAGGAAGAAATGGAGAAGAAGGACGAGCCGTCGGGCGTGGCGGCGCGCTGAGCCTGTCGCCCATCTCGGCGCAGGCCGTCGCCAAGATCGTCTCGCAGTTGCAGCCGCAGACACAGCCGCAGGCGCAATAATTAATTTCTCGTCGCGATTCTGTCCGCGATTTTGTAGTGATGCATGCTATCTCGCATGATCTGCCCATGTTCTAGCAGGCTCAAATTATTGGTGTTCCCAGTTCCCCTGATAATAAATTATTTATTACATGGTTCCCAGTCACCGGAGTAGCCATTTCCCGGAACAAAAAATATGTGTCGCTCAGGAAATTCAGCAGCTTTTCACTGCCTCGCCGGAGAAAACTTTGACCCGTAGGTAGGCAGCGCAGCGTAGCTTCCATCGAAAACGACGAGGAGGGATAAGAGCAGCTCCGCGTGCGTCCAATCTTTGAGCCAGCTCCGATCCAAACGCGTCGCCGTCCGGTGAGCGAGCGAGTGATCCACGCGAGAGTGACCAGCTGGTGCTTGCTTGCTTCCGGGAATCGGAATCCTCCTCCTCATCTTCTCCTCTCCCCCATATCTCCTGTCTCCCTCCGCATTCACGCAGCAGCGGCGGCGGCGCATGTCCCTGCTTGCGTTGTGCGTCGCGTCCTTGTTCATTTCTTGATTCTTGATGGACGGGGGGCAGAGCGTCGCCAAGCGGCATGGCGCGGCCGCGGCCGCCGGCGCCGAGGAGGACCCTGACCGGCACCGTGCTCCTTCACCGGCCCACGAGGCGGCGGATGATCACGACGACGGCGACAAGAAGGCGCCTCGCAGGGGCAGCAACAGGCGCGTCGCCTCCCTCGACGTCTTCCGTGGCCTCACCGTCGCAGTACGTGGCCCGGCCCTCCCACCGCCTGCTTAATTCCTCTGCCACAAAGTTTCGTGTCCGTCTGATCCAAGTTCCAACCGTGCGTGTTCGTTTTGGTGCTGCAGCTGATGATACTGGTGGACGGCGCCGGCGGCGAGTGGCCGGTCATCGGGCACGCGCCGTGGCACGGCTGCAACCTCGCCGACTTCGTCATGCCCTTCTTCCTCTTCATCGTCGGCATGGCCATCCCCCTCTCCCTCAAGGTGCTCCATTTTACTCTCAATTCTAGTACGTAGTTCGTCGCTGTTGTTTCAGACTGCAATGACTAGCTGAATTTCCAGATTTCTCCTTGCACATAGGTTCATGGCAGCATGGCACCATTCGTTTTCTTATTTTTCTTTTCCATTTTGCGGGCAACCATTCCTGCTTCTTAACTTCGCGTTCGAACAAATTTGCAGAGAATTCCGGATCGCGGTCGGGCCGTCAGGAGAGTGGTCATAAGAACACTGAAGCTGCTCTTCTGGGGGATCTTGCTGCAAGGTTACACTTACTGATTTTACATCCCAGTTAGCTCTTTGAGTTCGCTGTTATCGAAATGCCTCTGTGTATCGACATTTGGTCACGAAGCACCATTTAGGACCGCCGACAGAACCCGAAGTTTCCCTCTCTGCAAAGAGGAAATTCTAAACATCAGCAATGTGTCACCATATTCAGGTGGTTACTCCCATGCTCCAGATGAACTAACCTATGGAGTTGACATGAAGCACATAAGATGGTGTGGTATCCTCCAGGTACCAGACTGCGCAAATTTCCATTGTACTTGAAAAGAATGTATGCACATACCAGAGAATGAGTATGTCTTTGCTTCTCCAGAGGATTGCCCTTGCATACTTGGTTGTCGCAGTCATAGAGATTGCGACGAAAGACGCGAGGGTTCAGGACCAGTCAAGTTCAGGCTTCTTCTCAATTTTCAGGCTGTATCTGTCCCAATGGTATATATGTATATGCATATGCAAGACCTTCTGATGTCATCTGAATTGTGAAGCATTGCAGATTTCACATACTAACTGTGGCATCTGTGTATCTACAAGGATTGTCGCATGTTGCATTTTGCTGATCTACTTGTCCCTTGTTTACGGGATTTACGTTCCGGACTGGGAGTTCACGGTGCGAAATGTCGACAGTCCAAACCACGGCAAAGTTTTGACAGTATGAAACTACTCAAACTCTGTCATTTTACCTTTTTTTTCGTGAATTTCTTGCGATTTTTCTTATGATCCATAAAAACAATGAATGGCATACTCCCTCCGTTCCAAAATAGATGACTCAACTTTATACTAAATTTAGTACAAACTTGAGTCATCTATTATGGAACGGAGGGAGTACTTAATTAGTTAATTACAAGTTCCTATAGGTAGGTCCCTTCTTCAGTAACAATCCACTGAAACAAGATTTTGTATGCAAGCTTCCTTCTGTTCTTCATCAATTCTTGCCGTGACAAACTGAAAAACTATATTTCAAGTTCTCAGCAGCAATCATATAACTGAGTTCTTTGTAGGCTTGCTGGCGAAATAAAAGAGTTTTTAGTAGGATCAAGTTTTCATGTTAGTTCAGTGATACTAAAGCGATTTCAGTATGCAAATCAATCACTCAATTTCTTTTCCTGTTAGTGTTAATTATTTTGCAGCTGTACAATCAAAGTACTTTTGTGATAGTTCAAACTCATTTACAATGTTGCCAAATGTTCAGGTGACATGTGGCACAAGGGGAAATCTGAGCCCTCCTTGCAATGCTGTAGGTTACATTGACCGTAAAATTCTCGGCATCAATCACCTGTACCAGAAACCTGCATGGAGGAGGCACAGGGTGCGTGTTTTCACTTTTCAGACAACAGAGCATCATCGTGCTGTTCTTCGCAGTTATTTTCAAACTTCTAGCAGCCAACTTATGCACTGGTTGGTTTACGCAGGACTGTACTGATGATTCTCCACATGAGGGGCCTTTCAAAAGGGACGCCCCGGCATGGTGCGCCTCTCCATTTGAACCTGAAGGGTTACTAAGGTAAGGGTAGTATTTTTTGTTACATGTCAATGGTGGGGTTTCTGATCATCTGATGTAATATATAGTTCATTGTTGACACTGTTCCTTGATAATTTTTTGCAGCTCATTTTCAGCGGTGTTAAGTACGATCATCGGCGTACACTACGGGCACCTGCTTGTTCATATGAAGGTGATTTTGCCTAACATGTCAGGCTTTTTCTGTTGGTGCGGATTAGGCTGCTGATTATTTACTGTTCCTGCATGCAATTTCAGAGTCATATGGACAGGCTAAAGCAGTGGGTCACCATGGGCGTAGCTCTCCTCCTCCTCGGAATCATTCTGCACTTCTCTCATGGTAACCAGAGTACACAATACACATTCATCGAAAAAAAGTTAGAACTCATACATGTCTGAATACGATTCAACAAAGTTTGCTCTTCCGCATTTCGTTGCAGCGATTCCTCTGAACAAACAGCTGTACACACTCAGTTACATCTGCGTGACCGCCGGTGCCGCTGGCATCGTCTTCTCCATGCTTTACTTCCTTGTAAGTCCCTCTCAATTTTACAGAACTAGTTTTATTTCTGAAATTGGCGTGTGAATGAACAATTGAACATCAGTAGAAAAAACAAATAGAACATTCAGATCCTCCACTCCACCTAGAATAAGTTAGGCATACCCATATGACATTCCATGAGTCCACTTCGATCCTGCGTGTATGTGACCTTCCATGGCTGACATCCTGAGCATCGTCGACGACAACATTGTTGAAACCTGGTGGCTTCCCCAGGTGGACGTCGTGCGCCTGCGCTATGTCTTTGCGCCGCTGCGGTGGGTCGGCATGAACGCGATGCTGGTGTACGTGATGGCAGCGGCGGGCATCTTCGAGGGCTTCCTCAACGGCTGGTACTACGACGGGACCAACAACACACTGGTAACTGCATAGAACCTACCTGTCATCGATCGACCGCCTTCGGGCTTCAGCCCACTCTGAGAAATTCTGTCACTGCTGCAGGTTTACTGGGTGAGGAAGCACGTGTTCGTCCAGGTGTGGCACTCGGAGAGGGTGGGCATCCTCCTCTACGTCCTCGTCGCGCAGATCCTGCTCTGGGCGCTCCTCGCCGGCCTCCTCCACCGGGCCGGCGTCTACTGGAAGCTCTAGCCACCCAGGAGGGCATTGGTGTCATCATTTGCTTGTGTGTTGGAATTGTGCAGAATGTGTGTAAGAAGAGAAGAAAAGAAAGGTGGAAAAGCATTTCAACATGATCCCAAGCAGAAGCATGACTAAGCTTCAAAAAGCTACAAGGGATGCACCTGATGAGATCTATGGTGCAGTGGTGAAGCAGAATTAGTATAGCCTATGGGACTATGGGGGAAGAATTCATACATAAGTACAATCTCTGTAAACAAACAAAAGACATTTTAGAGACTTGCATCAAGTCTGTCTCTAAAACATCCCATAATTGTTTACAGAGGGAGTAATTAATAATCTGGAATGTCATATTTGTTAACTTATGAATAGCACATTGTTAGCTTATGATTAGCACGTCCATTAGCTTATGATCATCCACAGTCTGATCCAACTTTCCAGAAATATAAACTTGTATCCAGTCTGATGCGTGTAGTAAGCCATCTTTGATTTTCTGAAACTGTTCACGAGGCAGAGGACTGTTAGGCAGTGTTCCAAGCAAATCCAATGCCAGCTGAGTCATCTTCCGTTGCTAGCAAGCTACAAATCATCAGCTAGAATCACGCTATCATGCTTTTTATCCATATTTTTGTGATGTAAACATCTATACGCAAGCATTTATGCTGTGATGTTACAATCATGTGATGATACTACTGTTTTGGCCTCTTTTTGTGGTGTGAAGCCAGAGTACTATATGCAAGTTTGATGTACTGATGCTATGAAGATGCAGTGCTGCTATTTTTTTGACAACTTCCCTGTAGTTTGTGGTATGACATCGTATCCGGATTAAAACTGTGCGAATAGGCGAAAGCGTCTTACCCATCATGGGGGCGCTGTTGCGTGTTATATAGGCCAGGGGCGCACCTCCCTAGATAGCGCATACAACAGTTTAGATTACAAACTTGAGAAGAAAGAAAGGGGTAGAGATAAGGACTCTAGTTAAGATAAACCTCCTTCCTAACTACCTAACACATATGCGCAAGTAATGCAATCCTCCTGCCACGCTACAACTTGTGTTTAACACCCTCTCTTAATCACAACTTCATCAAGTTGAGATTATGCTTGAAGTCTTCAAAGCTTCGTGTGGGAAGAGGCTTTGTGAATCCATCTGCTATCTGGTCCTTGGAATGCACAAAACGTATGTCAAGTTTCTTCTGAGCCACTCGTTCTCTGACAAAGTGAAAATCAATTTCAATGTGTTTAGTTCTGGCATGAAAAACTAGATTGGCAAATAGGTATGTGGCACCCAGATTATCACACCATAAGCATGGAACTTGAGTACTTTTTACACCAAGTTCCTTCAGAAGTGATTGCACCCATATGATCTCAGCCGTTGCATTTGCCAATGCTTTGTATTCTGCCTCAGTACTGGATCGAGAAACAGTTGCCTGCTTTCTTGCACTCTGTTGGAGTTGTGTCGAATATAGTGTACAAGGTAGGTTACAGTTGGACTATGAGTTGTATTGTGTTTACATAGGATGTGGAGTCGTGTTCAATTAGGACACTTGTATCCTAGGCCTCTCATATATAGCGGGGGTAGACACACGATGTAACCTATGCCAACATAATAGCACCGGAACGCAGGAGAAGCCGGCGGCATGTGCCGACGTCCAGGGCGACCGGGTGCGGTATTATAGCGGTGTCATGGGGAGGAGCGCCCATAGTCAGGCCCCGGGGATGTAGCCATATCGGTGAACCTCGTTAACAAATCTCAGTGTCGTGCTCGTGTGATTGCTTGGTCCTTGGATGATTGACGGAGTGCCTCAGATTTATTCTAACACACTCCATGAAATTAAATTGGGACCAGAAAATACTGCAAAACCACCAGTGGATCGCCTGTCATCCAGGCAGCCTGCCCAGTCAGAATATGAGAAACCACTCAAAAGTGTTGATGATGACTTACTAAAATTCAGACCAATATTGAGAGTATTCTTGACATATCGAACTATACGCTTTGCAGCAGTCCAGTGAACTGTGGTGGGTGCATGAAGAAACTGACAGACCTTATTAACAGCAAAAGAGATATCAGGCCGTGTAAGTGTCAAATATTGAAGCGCACCTACCAGACTCCTGTATCTTGTGCTGTCATCTTGACCCAAAGGCTGCCCTTCTGTAAGGGATAATTTTTCTGAGCTTGATAGTGGAGTAGGTGAGGGTTTACACCCTTGCAAACCAGCCTTTTTTACCAGATCTGTTGTATACTTTTCCTGAGAGAGGTGAAGACCATTATCATGTTTCTTCACTTCTATCCCTAGGAAATAATGCAAGTCTCCAAGGTCCTTGAGAGCAAATTCTGCACTTAGATCCTTCAATAAGCCTGTGATAGCCTCATTAGATGAACTTGTGACAATAATATCATCAACATAGATGAGAACAAATATATGAGTGTTGCATTTGTTGTAAATGAACAAAGAGGTATCAGACTTTGAAGGTATGAAACCAAGTGCTTGCATTTTGTGACTCAACCGTGAGTACCATGCTCAAGGAGCCTGCTTCAATCCATATAAGGCTTTGTCAAGTTTACATACATGAGAAGGTGCATTCTTGTTTTCAAACCCAGGAGGTTGTTTCATGTACACTTCCTCTTCCAGAACACCATGCAAAAACGCGTTCTGAACGTCTAGCTGTCTAAGGCTCCATCCTCTGGAAACAACAATGGATAACACAAGACGGATAGTGGCAGCTTTTACAACTGGACTAAAGGTATCCTCATAGTCTATGCCATATCGTTGTTTAAAACCTTTTGCTACAAGTCTTGCTTTGTAACGATCAATAGTGCCATCGGATTTTCTCTTAATCCTAAAAACCCACTTGCAGTCAATAAGGTTTTTACCTTGCCGTGGAGGAACCAAGTGCCATGTGTTGTTCCTCTTTAAGGCCATGTACTCTTCTTTCATTGCTTGTTTCCAATTTTCATCACCAAGAGCTTCCTCAAGTGAATACGGTTCACCTGTAGAGCAGATCATGCCAAATTTTGTCATGCGTTTGTAATTTACTGGTTGTATTACCTCCTGTTGGAGACGAGTACGTCGTGACGTGGTTGGCTTCGGCGCAGAAGATGTTGGGGAACGTAGCAGAAATTCAAAATTTTCTACTCATCACCAAGATCAATCTATGGAGTAATCTAGCAACGAGGGGAAGGAGAGTGCATCTACATACCCTTGTAGATCGCTAAGCGGAAGCGTTCAAGTGAACGGGTTGATGGAGTCGTACTCGTCGTGATTCAAATCACCGATGATCCTAGTGCCGAACGGACGGCACCTCCGCGTTCAACACACGTACAGCCCGGTGACGTCTCCTACGCCTTGATCCAGCAAGGGGAGAAGGAGAGGTTGGGGAAGACTCCATCCAGCAGCAGCACGACGGTGTGGTCGTGGTGGAGGAGCGTGGTACTCCAGCAGGGCTTCGCCAAGCACCGCAAGAGACGAGGAGGGAGAGGGGTAGGGCTGCGCCAAGAAGGAGATTGAATCGTGTCTCTGGCAGCCCAAAACCTCAAGTATATAGGGGGAGGGGAGGGGCTGCGCCCCCACCTAGGTTTCCACCCCTAGGGGTGGCGGCCAGCCC